GATTTCACTGCATGCGTCATATTATAATTATGAATCATATTTGTTCATTATTAGTGATATTAATTTAGACAGAACAAAGAATGATAGCAACATACATTGGTTACAATACTGGCCGACCCAACCGCCTTGACACAGGCACTGCACAGTGTCAAACACTGGTGATGTTATACACTGTCCATTCACACAAGGACATTCTTTGAAGAGAAAATGAGAAACAACATAAAGAAAATATTCATGTGGGTTTTATTTGGGATTTTCACAGATACTTAAAAATATCATATAATGCTAACAAAAACTAAGATGTTCATTGTTTTATAAACTGTTGCATAGCTGTGAAACTTCAAGCAGTGCATAATATCAAATTACGTTACCATGGGAATAGACTTCACGTAATCAGGTAACTTCATCAAACGTATGATACAGCAAGAAGTTTGTCACAAAATGGAACAGGAAACTTCTCTCTTCACAACAATACTCACTGTTTTCTAATCAATAATCACATATTATATATTGATAAGAACTTACCTTGAGAGCACATATTACCATAGAAACCAGGGGCACACATTTCACAAGCAGTACCTGTGAACTGTTCATCACATTTACATATCCCATCACCCCCCATTCCATCATGGCAAGTACCGTGTCCATTACATGGGTCAACTGAACCACCAGGGCATGCTGGGAAATAAACAACCAATAATCTGATCAATCATTATGGACAAAAACATTTAAATGCTTTGTCAGTTAAAAATTAACAGTCAAAATGTTATTTAATTAATGTTTGTCAGAAAGAACATAGTAAAACTATTAATGCCTTGCCATGCTGAATTCATGTCAGTTATCCACAAATCAGACACAAAAATATATTAAAATATGTGTAAGTCAGAAAGAACATAGTGAAACTAAGGATACCATGCCAAATTCAATTTCTAATTTCTTAGAAATTAAAATATAGATTGAAATTAAATTCTTTACCTCTACATGATGTTCCATAGAATCCTTGACAACATATTTGAGTCTATAGGCACAATATAAAAGAAGAAAATAAAAGATGCGCACCACTATATCATGTTTTTCTATGGGCTATGCGCGAGCTGCTGTTGAACGCCAGTCGGAAGAGCCGGGGAAAACAGGTAAAGTTGAGAAAAAAGCACAAACTTAATTATGAGACAATCCTGAACAACAAAATATATATATGTTGAACATGAAGGAGTAATAAGTTCAGGAGAGTCTCAGAGTTTTGACAATTGTGGTTGCTAGGCAGTGAAAATTCCTGGATGTTTGCTCCCAAAAATATTAAATATTGAGAAAACAATAAACAGCCAAACAATGACTTCAGTGCCCTAAATGGTAATAATTTATCTCTTTCATAAAAATAAAATCATGCATTTATTTATGAATCTTTGCATAAAACCTCATGTATACTTACATATGTTGTCATCTGACAGGTAACATAGCAACCATCAGTTGCATATTGTCTTCCTCTGAGTTGACGAGTGTACTGACAGTTACTGTGCATGCCATTTAGAGGAATCTATCAAACAAATTTGCCAGAAATTCATACTGCATTATAATGTGATACTATACAATCGCAGATCTCAAAATAATCTTAATGAAAAAATTCTCACATTGAATAATGATTTCGATGATCGAACACAAAATCCTGTGTGAATCAGTGACTTATGATGGCACCCTAAGACACTGAAAACTCGATTACAAATTAATACAAACAAGCAGCCTTTTTCTTTTTTGTATTTATAAACTTTTATTGGAGTTTGTGCTGAAATTAACATCTTACATATTGGTTTGTACATTACAAATTGCAATTAATCTACATATTGTGAAGTGGATTGGGTAACATTTTTCATAAAATATTCCCATTTCTTGTTATGAGAAGTCAACTTATTCCGTCGGACAGCAATGAAGTACTCTATCTCCAGGAAATATTTTACATATCTTTTGTATGCCATGAATTCTGGCTTTTGGTTTTTATGTCTACACAAGTAAATATATTTTTTTGCTACCAGAAAGAGGAAGTTGACCAAACATGTAAAGTTTTCATCCCCAAAAAGGATTTGTTGTGCATTCGGGAATGCCCTCAGGCCAAGCTTACCCCCCCCCCCCCAAAGCATGTACAGTGTTTCTCAAAAATCTTGGGTGCATTGACATTGGTAAAACAAGCAGCCTTTTGGCTGAGAAAGTTCCACTGTTAGCAATGCACATTTCAATTAAAGAATTAAAGATATCATCACAAAATTAACAAATCTGAGAGAGAGGTCCAATGTAGTACCTATATGTATATTATCAAAGCAATAATCTTTGTGGTTTTCAACAAGAAGTTGAAAATATCACTTTTTACCAAAAATGACAAAAATATTCATTTAAATTTGAGAATTGAAAATATCATCATGAAATGAACAAATCTAAGTGAGGTCTATCTAAGGTACATATACACCAAGTATCAAAGCAATAATATTGTAGTTTTCAAAAAGAAGTTGAAAAAGTAAAAAGTTGACACAAATGATGACAACGGACAATCACTCATAAGATAAGCTCCGCTCAAAAAAGTTTACAGCAAAGCTAAAAAAAAAAATAAGTGTAGACAATTAATATAAAAAAAGAATGATTTGTTGGACTTACGATTGGTTGATAGCCATCTAGACATACAGGTGGTAAAGTACAACTGATGCATTCACTCTAAAAACAAAACCACAGAAAAAGCATTTGAAAATAGTTTGTAACACTACAAAGTACGTTAAGTACTGTAAATTCATGCAGAAAGAAAAATATTTGATATTGCAAGTACATTCATTACGTTTTGAATTCACTTGTAAATTCATTACGTTTTGTTTCAGTGCATTAACCGGTAATGAAAATAAAATCCAGTGAATAATTAAGCTGTATACAGCAGAATTTTTATATAAAATTTAGTATGTACACTTCCATGTATGTAACTGGTGCAATATACAAGAAAGATGACACAGAAAATTTTCACAAAATCGCAAATCCAAGCTACATCTCGGACTGTTTTACATGTTTGAATATGGCAATAATCTTGCTCATAATATTGCTCAAACCCTTTCAAAATTCTGTGACCCTATTGGATTGACACGCATAAAATTAGATTGCTATGAAACACTTGAGTGATCTTGATTGCATATTACAATATATGGTTAGAAAAGTTGCACACCTTTATTGAATAAATCAATATATTTTGAATATGCATAGGTTTTCAGTGATTTCCAGAAACACGTTATCATTTCGCACTAGATCAACTTTTTTGAAGCTAATTTGATAAAATTACAACAAAACCCTAAAATTTCATGTTATACTTACCATCATGGTAGCTGTTTCATTGATATCACATCGATTAGCAAGGACATCTAACACAGCGTGAATGACATGGACAACACCTTTATCTGTTTTCATGTCACGTTCAACGATATATGCTTGGCTATTTATCCAAATCTGTGGAGTAACAAAGACAATATCTGAATTAATTTCAGAACACTACAAATTTAAATGAATTATCTGTGAAGTAACAAAGACAGTGTGAAAATATCACAAAAAACAATATCTGAATTAATTTTGGAATACTACCAATTTAAATGGTTTGTGTACAATAACAATTTAACATGTTAATAATACTTGAAAAAAAATACAAAAAAAAAAATTGGCAGAAAACAAAATTTAGCTCAAAGAAAAATGTTTATTAAATAACACACGTTGAAGATTTTTTTTGTCTGCCAAATTAATGCATACACTTTTATGTACCATTGAACATTAACCTTTTCACCACCAGTTCCCTCTTTTCATCACAAAATTCAAAAATTAGTTCCATTTATAGTCTGCAATTTCCTTCAGAAGATTAGAACAAAATAGCCAAATTTTGGAGTAAAAACTGAATATTGACTCAAATTTTGTCTGTTGGCTCTTAATTAAGGTTCATTTCCATAAATATTGGAGAATATAAAAAAAAGTGCAGACAAATTTGGTATGCAAAAATTTGATGGTGAAAAGGTATAAATAATATAATTTTTTTAAATATAAATTTATTTTCTAGAACTTAGTCATAACACTTTTGAAGTCTTTCCTTGATGACATCATATAGGTGATCACACTTATGAACATCATATATCAAAAAAAATACATCACCATTTATGAGCATTTATCATGTTACATATTATATCAAAATGATCAATATAACTCACTTGGTTGTCATGGTGACTGAATGTCAGCTGATAATTATGTCCAAGCCATGTTGGATGATGAAAACCATCATGTAGTTCAGAACTCAGTATTTTGGCTCCAGCAAAAATGTGATACTTTATAAGATCTATCCCCTGTGAAGAAAATTAAGACAGAGACAATTCTTTTATTTACTATTCGGAAAGTTATTATTACAATAGCAACATCACTTCTGGTAACTAGGTAAAGGATGATGAGTGATATTGGCTGACATATCTCAGCAGTGGTGACATATCTCAGCAGTAGTGACATATCTCAGCAATAGTGACATATCTCAGCAGTGGTGACATATCTCAGCAGTGGTGACACATCTCAACAGTGGTGACATATCCCAGCAGTGGTGACATAACCCAGCAGTGGTGACATATCTCAGCAGTGGTGACATAACCCAGCAGTGGTGACATAACCCAGCAGTGGTGACATATCTCAGCAATAGTGACATATTTCAGCAGTGGTGACATATCTCAGCAGTGGTGACATATCTCAGCAGTGGTGACATATCCCAGCAGTGGTGACATATCTCAGCAGTGGTGACATATCTCAGCAGTGGTGACATATCTCAGCAGTGGTGACATATCTCAGAAGTGGTGACATATCCCAGCAGTGGTGACATATCTCAGCAGTGGTGACATATCTCAGCAGTAGTGAAATATCTCAGCAGTGGTGACATAACCCAGCAGTGGTGACATATCTCAACAGTGGTGACATATCTCAGCAGTGGTGACATATTCCAGCAGTGGTGACATATCCCAGCAGTGGTGACATAACCAAGCAGTGGTGACATATCCCAGCAGTGGTGACATATCCCAGCAGTGGTGACATATCCCAGCAGTGGTGACATAATCCAGCAGTGGTGACATAACCCATCAGTGGTGACATATCCCAGCAGTGGTGACATAACCGAGCAGTGGTGACATATCCCAGCAGTGGTGACATATCCCAGCAGTTGTGACATATCCCAGCAGTGGTGACATAACCCAGCAGTAGTGACATATCTCAGCAGTGGTGACATATCTCAGCAGTGGTGACATATCCCAGCAGTGGTGACATATCCCAGCAGTGGTGACATATCCCAGCAGTGGTGACATAACCCAGCAGTGGTGACATATCCCAGCAGTGGTGACATATCTCAGCAGTGGTGACATATCTCAGCAGTGGTGACATATCTCAGCAGTGGTGACATATCTCAGCAGTGGTGACATTTCAGTATAGTCAATCAATTGAAGAGTGTTGTTTTATTAATTTTTCATAAGATTCTAACTAGACACATACAACATTTACATTTGGGAAGGGAAAATGTTCAATGTAAACATACTCACCACTGGACCTGTTTGCTTCATTGCTAAGGCCTCAAATGCACTGTCAGTCGGTACAAAAACAGTGTATTCTTGTTGAAATTCAAGTTGATTAAGTAAATGATATTCCTGTGAAGACAAAATATAAAAATACTCAGAAAAAAATTAATTTCAGTTTTTTAATTAAAATGCATCAATGATTTTAAACTCATTCACTGTATTCTGAAGGGGAGGCAAAGAAATGATTTGGTGGCCTATTATTTTATTTTTATTTATGTTGCTATGGATATTATGATGATGGTAGGATACCTATTATTTTAGATGGTTGCATGTACAACTAGATTAAATATATTGTTACTAGTAACAGCAATACGATTGCAGCTGTGAAATATGAAGCAGTTTTTCTGAGTAACATGTACTCAGTGACTTTAATAAACTAAAAATAAATCAGAACTTTTTCAGTTGAAGAAACTGTTGTACTACAGAGGGATAAGTCAGCCATTTTGAATCTGATTTGAAAAACAATGACATGATGCCATCAAGCTTCCATTACATTCAATGAAAATGCCATCAATGAAAATGCCTTCAATGAAAATTCCATCAATGAAAATTCCAATTTTTCATGACGTATGTCCATGTGTGAATGAGATTGGTTTCCGAAAGGCAGAAATGCTAGATTATTATGCATAAATGACCACCATTCAGCATTTTGAATTGGATCAGTCATATGTGCATGTATTAGTTTAGACATGTCCAAGATAAAGGTGGCTAAGCACATAGGCAGAGTCTGAACTTTGACTAATGGAATAATTTCCTCTGAATATCAAGAAATGATATTTTTTGACTGTATTGCTTAATGTTCATGAAGAATTGGTGTTTGATCTTCGTAATACAGATGGGAACTAGAGTTCAAATATCACAATTTCTCATCAAAAACATTGATGCAACAGTTTG